CACGTTTTGAGCAAACTTCACTTTACTAACAAAGCAGTCAAGGCCATGCTTACTCTTTCCTAGCCCTGTTTCCATGGTAAGATACTAAATCTTATTAAAGAAAAGTCTGCACGAGACCTGCCAGCTCAATCAGCTGAGTGACTGAAAATTCGTAAAACCATGAATTTACCGGATAATACCCTTGATTTCTGAAACACGCCTAAAGGCGGCATATGAAGAGACGGCAGCTACTGTGTTAAGCATGCAGTATAAACCTATCCTGTCCTAGTGGCGCTTTCTCGATGATAGAATGGTAACAAAAAAAAATCTTTGTTTACGGCCATTCACGGAATTAGCTGAAGTCGACCACTCTATCAGCTTGGTCAAATATAAATATAGGATTAATAGCAATTCAACTACTGCTTTTAACTATTATGAAGCTATATATATGCACCTTCTACTAGTTTCCCCTTTAAAATTCACTCTCAACTCAGGGGCGATGCTTAACAAACTGGGGCTTTGCGATAACCGCAATTGTAGAGCCGTATTGCAAACCCAAAAAGTTCAACAAGCCTATTTAATAATAATCCCTGCTACTAAACATTCTCACCTTTCTCTCAGAAATTGCTTAACCTTAAGGAATTTGTGATACTGATAGAGAAAAAAATGGGGCTGGTCAGTGTATCGCGCTTCGATTCAGTGTACGAAAATAGATGTAAACTCTTTTTTGCCGTTAATTGTAACCTGTATCGCTTGCATCACTGTGAAAAGCATGAAAAATCGGATGTCCATATGCGTAGCCATGCGCCTTTCAAATCAGGCAACAAAATGAATTCCAATAATACCTTGTGCCTCTGTGGTTTCGTTAAAACCACTTCCGCCCGGTTTGAAACTGTTTATCTCCCCAACGGCCCTAGGAGACTCACTCACTCATGAATAGATAAATGTTTAGGTGATTCCGTCGTGCCTCTTTTCAGTTCCGCAGAACAACGTGAGCTGGATTGGTCTGTCAGTTGCAAACGATAGCACCGCATCGAACGACGTACAGCACTGTCCCTTCTGCCCTCCTTCCCCACTTCTAATCCTCAAGCAGTGAAGTCAGCGAGACAGCGGTTAGAAAAAGCCAACCGTTGGAAGATTCGAGAATCGCACCAAAGTCTCTTTCCCCGCTTGTCGTATCTAGTAATGAGAGTAGAGACGGTATGTTTACTAATTGTCCTTTCTATCGCTTTTACGCACACACATCATATCAGGTAGTATCATGAAGTGAAGCCCGCGTTCCTCGCGGAGTACGGGAGACAAAGGCGTCAAGTTCTTTGGGTGGATCAGGCAAGAGGCGCTCTTGGGCTTTTTGAAACGAGGTATTAGAAACTTGAGACATTGACGCAATGAAGCGCTTTCTCCGGCATTACAATATCGTTTACTGCTGACAAGAAAGGAGCCCTTTTTTGTGGAGGTTGATAAACCTAATCGCGAATAGCGGATGTAATGCTAATGGGCAGGGTGATTAGTAACACGCAACACGGGTTATGTTTATAACATTATGTACGAAATATACATAGTCATTTTCCAAATATTAAAAAGAGTACGTATTCAAAAAAAAAAAGAGCACAGAAAAAGATGGTACGAGTGTGTATGAGCGACACTATAGTTGTGATCCAGATATTTGAGATTACTCAACGTTTGTACTGAGGCTCATTTAGATGTACTGCTTATCAAATGACACATACAGTTGTTAAGATCAGATAGTCCGATCATATCTGTTTCGAGCCTAATCGGTAGGTGTTTATAAGGCCTTGTTGGAACTTGCAAACCCTTGTTTCTACTGAAATGCAAAGCAAAATTTAGAGGCGGACCGATAAACCGCTTTGTTTACGGTATTGGTTAAATAATTCTCTATCTAACAATCATTGCTCTGAATTTTGAAGTGTCATAGTAAAATAAAGAGGATATTCTGGTAATAATCATAATAACGCCGAAGAGCATACAATTGATTATTTCTATGTAAGTATGTATGAATTATGTTTTTCTTTATACAATACAAACGGCGAGTGTAACGAAATGAAGTCGAAGAGACGTTGAAAATACAAGAAACCCAATGATTGTCTTCTAGCTGACGAGCTTGCCAGCGATATCAATAGTCATTACACAGCAGTTACTAAGTTTCTAAGAGAAAGTCAATGCCATAAGCAAAAAAAGTGTCCCTAATGTTTTGTTTTGGCGGTACAGACCACCAATTTTGCAGTTTATCTCTAGTTTTTCAGTATCTGAGGATATCATAAAGCTAGCATTTTAGTGCGGTTTGCACTAGAGAACTGAGTATTTGTGAAAATGCGAGATTAGCCAGATGTTTGCTTCACCTAAGATCTTCGATTGTGATTGCCGAAGTAAACGACGGAAAGGCACCAAGATAGCTACGATCGATAAAAAAAAAGACAAAAAAAAAAGCGAGTTTGGCTCAATCGATTTGACTCTGTGGCCGCCAGTTAGGATCGACGAGAAGATTGCCGCAAGAAAAAGCGAAAAATTCTACTTCGCTCCTGGCAAGCAGTATATACTTGAAGAACTCGATGGATCTAACAGATGCCCCAGAGCAGAAGTTAGCATAGATGGAAAACGCACGGACCCTTAGTAACGGGCAAAGGCTATGTTTGACAAAAGAACCTTCTGGACTAAACTGTGTGGAAACGTCTTTACAAACAGAGCGAGAGTTGTTCTGGATAAACAAACATAAGTCGATATTATATGCTTTCAAATATCTGGCGAATTGTTGTTCGATTAGGCGCTCTAGTGATGACAAACGTTTTCTTCGGAGTCCTTTTTAAACGTGCGTCCATTTTTCTGTTAGCAATAAGCTTAGTAGTTAGAGTACTAACTCATTTATATAGTTTATTATGTCTGAAAAAAGACTCTCTTAATTATTAAGTTTGCTAGTTTCAACTTTATTAAGAGCTGACGATTCTCCAAAGTTACAATGCATATTACGCATATAAATGTAGGTCTTGTAATTTACTAAGACGTAGCCAAAAGATTATAATATAGCCTAATTTTACTTCGTTTGAAAACCTCGCTCCGTTAAATTGTCTTATCATTTAGACATTAACACATTGATAGACATCAACTGAATCGTATATACTGTTACGAGGTCACGATGTTAATGGCTAATTATGAAGACGTTCAATTGAAAAGTGTAGTCTCTGTATATGTATGTAAATGTTTATGACTTCAGCTTAGAGCTTCGATAAACGTACGACTTCTATACTTCACTTATTTCTGTTGGATCGATGCGTCCTACGTTAGCGCTAGAGGTACGTAAATTTGCTTTCCTGACAATAATCATTTTCACGTTTGCATTTTCAAATTTAAAATTTCGCGCGTAGAGCGTGTTGATATTGGGGCACGGCTGGAAAAATTACGCCATGCGACAACAGTGTCCCTCGCTAGGGCTACAAATAAAAGACAAACCCTAAAACTATTTATATACTTTCTGAATCACAAATAGCTACCCCAACCAGCGTGGCTGATTTGCCGAAGTTTATTTTTTTAATAATCACTTAATCATGAAGGCGGTTGAAACGGGCTGTAAAAATAAATGAAAAAAGAAATGAAAGCACACATCAACAAGCTTGCTTATATTTGAATGTATGCGTGTATACAAGACTTTAGCAATTTTGTGTGGTTGTTATATATACGCATTGTTTTACAACAATTGTTTTTGTTAAACAAAAAATTCCTGTGACCCGTCATAAACGCGCGCATTACAAAAACATAGCTGGCATTATGAAAATTATTTGTGCTGTTATCAATAAAAGAAACATTGACACAAATAAACAGAGAACAGAAGCGCATTTCTCGACTCAGATTTACCAAATGATAACCTTCTCGTAACATACTAACTTGCTATTCTACAAAATAGCTCAAACAACTTTTTTTTTAATTTTGCATATCGAGTAACACTACAATCAGGGAAAGTTGTTTACACACGGTCTCATATCACCCGTCGTACTCTTTGTCATATCACTCGTGATACTCTATAGAGCCTTTCTATTTCCGACCTAGTGAGCCAGCTTGAGGAAGTGGCTTACTTAGAGCTAACGAGCACAATAATACCAATGTTATTTTTGTAGTATAATTAAGATGCTTACAACAATCAGTTAGGGAGAGTTGTTTGGCTCAACAAGAGAGGGGGGAATGGTTGTGCCCTTCAGGACTGAAACATCTGGAAACTTGCCAGGTTTTGGCAGGACCCCGAAAAAGCCCAACGCTTATTTCACGTCTATTAGCCTCGGCCCATTTCGCCGCAGCTAATGAGTCAGACTTTATTCCTGATCAATTTTATGCTTATGCGAGCAGTCTGCGAAGACCTACATCGCGCAAGAGTCGGACATTTTTCGCGGTTTGTTACATCTGAATAATGGTTTATGTGACGGCACGAGAAGAGGTTACGAATTTGTCGGTATAGATGATTGTAGACCATGACGTCGATAAGCATCTATCCACACGAACGACTATCAAAGTTGAGGTGCACTCAGTTACTGTTTATAGGCTAGGTATATTTATGTCAAATAAACTTCTAAGATGTGTCAAATCATACCAACAGGCTAGGTAATAATAGAGCGTTTGAGTTTTATAAGATGAGCTTAACAAAGCTCCCGTCGGTACCCAACAAGAGCACCATGAACGCCCCAGGTATAGGCCAACTTTTTTTTGTCGGAATAGCTATTCAGAAGAGTACACGATGTCCGCATATGTTGTGACGCCCAATACGTAAGCAATGTAATATGTGCAATAGCATTGAGGCTAGCGTTGGAAGGGAAAAAAGCTATCGGTTAAATGCAGCATGTGAAACGAATCCAGAATTTTTTTTTTTGGAACAATGTGCTTCTATGAAAATTGTGTATTTACTGCAAGAGTGATCACAATGCATAGCTAAACCGCTATATATCTGAAAATTAGGGAGTTACTTTGCTTACTAAACATCTATCGTATATTCGCTTTTTAGGGAGTAACATTATGCTTACCTTGTCGCCAGCGGCCTCAAGCTTTAGCAGTTGAAACCCTCACGTTCACCGGGTTGCAGTATAGTCGGGAGAAGCTGGAGTTGCTCACAGAGAATGGACGTTGGCTAAATTTTTCTACTGCAGGAACGCTGCTCGACTTGCCAGAGAGGCATGAAGAAAAGTCTACTGCCCTACTCTACGAAAGACGGACGGGCATGATAGATGAATGTCAACATTTACACAACAATGGAGAGGGTTAGGAAGATAAGGAACGTCAACGAACCCGCTCGGTTGCTGATTAGAATCGCATTCGCTGGAAGACAAGCCTATCCAACGACGTGCGAGGATACACTCAATTGCACAACAGTGTACATCGCGAAAAATAGAAGTACAACTACTGTAGGATTTTCTATAATAGTTCCCATTATCGCCATCTAGCTAACACAGTTCCGACGCCGCAGAACATAATCCTTGGCACTATTTTCCAAGAAAATAGAAAATATTCGGGCTTCCTAGTATATACGTTATCGTTTCAAATGATTCACGATCGTATTTCGCCTTGATTCGGTTACCACGTATGGCTATGAGCTTAAACAAACATAACGCTTCAAAGGGTATTCACGCAGCTCATTGTACAGCCATATACATGTAAACAGAAAGAGACGCATGCCGTTTATTCAGGGACATCTGCGTTGGTCAGGTAGATGTCTATGATGTAGTAATATCTAGTTTCATTCACAAGTATCTCTGTTTTGGACAAACACGTTTATTTTGACTTATCATAACAGCTGAAACAAGGGCTTTCCTACACGTGCCTGGTCACCTGGTCAAGGCGTGGAGTACCGATTTTTGAAGATTGTTTCCAATCGGTACTTGGCACTGATTAGCACTCTGACGCTACACACAGGGGGGTAACAACCTCATAGCCGCATATTGCTTCAGTTGTAGCCCATTCTGTTAGTTTAAGAAGAAAGAACTGTGTCTTTGACCAGATATAGGTCATATGCGCGTTTCAATAAAGAACTCCAGCTAATGGGAAAAATATGGACATATTGTGCCGATGTTGTGAAGAAACCACAGAGCTATTGTAAAGCAGGTTTCTTTGACGAACATTACAATTTCGTACACAACCCAGTAGTTTCATAGCACCAATGTAAAAGAATATCAGTGACGCGTTGATTTGAGTGATTCATAAATTGCTGTAAACAAACATTACACGATCACTCTTAATCGCTTTTTATAACCGCTTAGGCCCTAATACTTGAGGCCGTTCGGTTTATATTTTGCGGAGCTCTGAACTCGTATAGAAGCCGTTCGTGTACATACATACCTCAGTATGCCGACACACAAACTAACCTTGTTGTTGTTTTTCCTACAAAAAATGTTTTCGGAAAGGTAAATGATCAAATATCTATTAATAGTGAAATTATGTCGCTCTAGTTTCTATGATCTATCGCGGGCGTTTGTGTTAGCGATGTCGATCGACACGTATCCATCAATGGATGCTGAAATAGCGGAACAGCGACAGTGGTCGAAACGAGGCAGCATCTACAACATGAAAGCTCGCTGTCGACTAACAACAGCAGCGGCAGAACGAACTGACGGATCAACCTTTATACCTAATGCTACCAGAAATGGCAACGGCGCCGGTGAAAATGACGACTAACCCAGGGCTAAAGGGCGGGATGATTAAGCAATGCCTGCCTGATTTCTCTATGCGTAGCAAACTAGATGATGGCCGGCTAGTTGTGCGGTGAAACCGGCCCTGGTTTGTCTGGCTCGACTACATTACTATTGCTGCTACTGCTGCTGTTGGCGGCCGTAGTCGGTTTTCGTAAGGCAGCATACAGTGCGTAGAGGCGTCCGAAGCAATAGCAGTAGGACCAGCAGGGCCTGGGGCAGCAGCGGCTGTGGAAACAGCAGCAGTAGTTCCTGTGAACGTGAGTGCAATCTTTCGTCTCGCTTGTTCACCTGTCACCACCGGCAGTGCCTTTTCGCCCCAAAATGAAACTCCCAGCTTCTTGCTACCCCCTCGCATTGGCCTTCGGCTGCTGCTTCCGATGTTCTCCACTCTCGACGGCGCCCTCTGCCGGTGACATCTGTCGATTTTCCTTTCTAACCAGCCCACTCAACTATAATAAGATTCCATTGTGGACATCTACGATTTGCCCCAGATGACCCACCGCCAGCTCAACAACCTGTCAATGCCCAATTGCTAATTCCGCGCACCTAATCCTAGCGCTTGCTTACAATGAGCGAGACGCATTTGCACCATCTCTATGTCCATATATGTCAATACGTGCCTCTACGATTGTACTGACTAGAATACGTTCCTGTTCGGAATCGGCTGAGTAACTCATGCGGTTTGAAGTTGCTTTTAAATCTGAGGTATGGCATTGTAGCGTGAGTTGTGTAATGAAAATATTCATTAAAGTAAACTGTGTGCGCGATTTGGTCTCTCGAAGCAGATCTGATTTAGGCTTTAAATGGGAAAGGACATCTCTTGCTTACGTTCCCATCTGTATTGCATTGTCCCAAAGGTAAAGAAAGTTAGGTAAAAGTTAAAAAGGATATTGTAAGAATATATATAACGCATATGCCTTGCCTTAACTCTTAATTACGCAGGCCAGCCATTAGCTGTGATGAGATGAATGTCTGCGTACAATATTTCGTGTGCAGGTGTCACCTATTTTCAATTGAATAAATCGATAATAATTTTTCATTATGTAGGAAAAGGATGGATTTCCTCAATTGAATTTTATCGTTGCAATTGTATGCAAAAGTAGCCGAGTTTTCAACTAGGTCGATTCTATCGTAGATATAATCTACGTTTAGACACCGTTATCTAGGTACATAAAGTTTCGTACTGCCAGCCGATGTATCTATCTATACTGAGTGGAGATATTACTTAGATTAGAGAGTTGCTCCTTTTGCACAGTGGCGGCTTCAGCAGATATGATGAAGGTTATGAAGCCCGATAGCGGATTCTATCAAGATTGACTTAGGCTATATCGAGTCCAATAGTCTCCAAAATGACACGGACCATTGCAGTGGCAACTCTTGTGAAGTAGGTGGGATTTTCTTTCATATGGGGCGTGTGTGCGCACGTAAATCCGAAGACTAGCGTGCCGATTAGCATTACATCGAATCGTAGAAATGTGGCAATCGATTCGAAGTATCGTAAAGGGAAGTTTGCGTCTCCCTGTACGCGTTCATGTCAACATTGTGTGAGAAGCTACAGCTGTTTCTACGTGCCAATTGTCCCTTCCAAGCTTGTTCCCAAAAAAGTTCCGCGATGAAATTCTACTTTTTATCATAGACGGCAATAAATAACATTCATCGTGCTGCTATACCGATCAATTAATTTCACGATTGTTACTCAACACGAAAAACGTCGGGTTTTCGCTACTGTTATGATCTATGTGTGCGATACCTCACGTAACTCTCACGTAAGTTGCGCATTATTGCAGTGCACACCGCCACCTTAGTACATCAGTTACGTCGATATTTCCAGCTTTTGAACGTTGAATTACAGGCTAGCAGAACATCAAGACCACATTATAGGAAGGATTTCGATCACTGACAGTTGTAAGCCAAGTACTGTCTGACGAAGTTCAATATATTTAAGATAAGTTTCGGACGATTTTTCCCTGATAAACCAATTAGTGGTTCCGCCATTATCTTTAGTTCTCTGCATACGTTCCGACTCCGGCCTAGCACTGGCATTGATCACAGTTTATATAGCAATAGAATGTATGTTGCGGCTCTAATATTATGGATCCAACGACTCTAATAGTAAGTGGCATAAAGGATCGAAGATTCGGAATTGTTTCCAATGTAACGAAAGCGGACGTTAGCTGTGTCCAATCTGTAATACTTGGATCTTCGAGTGTAACTGGTAGGTTATTAGTGGTCATCAGGGGAATATAGTCATTCACACAACTCGCTATGCCGGATTTCTAGTCTGTCTTAAACAGATACGTTATCCATACGTTATATATACACTAATAGTAGGTTTGATGTATTTAGATTGATCAGTCAAGGATTTACTTTACGCTTTTTGATCGTGGCAAAATTTTTAGCTGGAAAGTATCGGCGATCTATATGTTTCTATACTCTGTTGATACTTTTACCCATACGAGCATAATTCTTTTGTTAGCGCACTCGGTGTTCCCGTATGTATGCGCTGCTTTGTTTTCGGTGTCATGTACAGCTGTATGCTATAATACGAAGCCTTTGTACTGACTACCGCTGGCTAAAAATGTTTGTATTTTAACCTTAATTTAGGTAATAGGTATTTATTTATTTGTTCTTCGGGGGGTATAAACATGACATAGAAGTTAAAATGTCTTTCTAGTCTACATACTTAACTCTCAGATATGTCTACTCCGAACTGATCACGAGATCTCTCCAAATAAGTGCATATACACGATACATGCAGCGGCTTATCTACATGCGTACACGTTTATGTGTAGCCCATCTTTATAAGCGCTGAGCGAGCCTTTAACTGTTGCTCTACCATTTAACAAGGGAAAGCATATGGACCGAAGGTAAACGTCTCTAGTATGTAGGGACTGCAAGAAGTCACTTCTTAGTATCCCCGACAGTTTCAATATCCTCGCGGCAGAGCTAATATTTAAATCTCCTCGGAGTGTGTCAACGACACTAGCGCCACAAGCGTTGTGTAAACGCATATAGATCGGACGCCAGTAGGACCTTATGAATTTTGTAAGGCATTCGGAGATAGAAGACATATGTGCACGCATGCATGCATACACGACCATTATATTTGTATATAGTTATTAAAATAAGAAAGTCGCGTCAACGATTACTACGCAACAGGTATACCGTATTGTGGCAAAAAAAAATAAGCGTATAAGCATACATCTCTGGGTACGTGCAAATACACGCAGTTTAAACACGCATATATTCATACATTACCTTATAACGGTAAGAGCTCTATGCAAATGGAGTGTTACGACGGCTGTTTCTAAGCGACTCGTTTTCAATACCCATAGTCAGGGCTGCGTTTTTTCTCAAACCCTATACATGAACCACAAAAAAGCTGATTAGTATAGTATAAAGTGCATTTCGGCGTCCTTATTGTGGGTCGGACACAAATCGCAACCAAGAC